GCACGGGTCAGCCCGGGCTTGCACTGCGCCCTGTCGCCCCAGCTCCCGCCAGCCGTCTCCCAGGGACGCCCCAGGATGCAGGCACCCGCAGGAGGTGGGGTCCCCAGTCCCAGGTGGGGAGCAGAGATGGCCAGGTCCTGCATCCCCACAGGCCATGCCCAATGGCCCTGGGCGGCCAAGGACCTCATCCCACCCTGCGCAGGCAATGCCCCATGTCCCCCTGGCCCCCCCAGGTGCATCGTCCAGGAGCGCAGCCAGGAGAGCCAGCACTGCCATCCCATCCCCTCAGGACCCCGCACCCGGAGGGAGGGTGCCCAGACTGCCCCGCGCCCAGGCACCCACCCAGAGCAGGACAGCGGCAGAGGGTGTCGGGACGCTGGGCACAGCCTGCAGGACACGGCCCCGGCCCCCCTCGCCTCGCGGGAGACCTGCCGCCCCGTGCCCAGGGCTGTGCCGCATCCCCACACCCAAGCCACATCCTGAGCAGAGCCTTGTCACCCACAGGCACCGTGACAGCAGGGGACAGGGACCCCAGCCGGGGAAAGGGCATCCACGAGAGCTGCTCTGAGAAAGAGAGAGCCTGGAAGAGAGGAAGAGGGAGCGGGAGAAGCCAGGCGTGCTGGAGAGGTGTGGCGTGGAGGAGCAGGTCTGGGACCGAGGGTCCCTGGCAGGCAGGAGAAGGAAGGAAACGGGCTGCAGAGGTGCAAGACAGATGCCCTGGCCTGGAGAAGCTGCTGGGGGAAGCAGCAGCTCAGGATGCTCGGGGGGGCACGGCAGCGCTGCACTTCCAGGTGGGGCAGGGGAGGGGTGTGCGGCTGCAGGGTGGCCCTGCGGCCCCAGCACTGGCCTGAGCACCCCAGCGGAATAGGTGCTCGTGCGACTCGGGGGCACTGCGGGTCCGGGGAGCCCAGGCGGTGGGGCAGCACGCTCCCCTCTCCATGGGGAGCCCATGTGCTAGGGCTGGGGGAAGGCGCTGACAGCGTCCCCTGGTCCTGCACATGGCCACCACCCTGGCCAGCAGCTGCCTCACCTCAATAACATTGGAGTCCTTGAAGCCCGGGATGCGCTCATCCTTGCAGACGACACCCGCATCTTCCTCGTGGCTGCAGTCGCTGTTGCCCCAGCCCCGGTGTTTGCAGTCCCCAATGCTCTTCCAGCCTCCAGCACA